CGCAAGATCGTAAACACGTGTCAGGGCCTTTTTGATAGACCACTGACATGCATGGCTCAAAAATGATCACCAGGCATATTGAAATTTGAGCTGTGGTCTTAAGAAAACACTCGAAAACGAATGATATGATACACTAAATATACTAGCCTTATTCAATCTTAGCTATGAAAAAATTACGGCTATTTATGGCTTTGAAATCACTAATAATTGGGAAGAACTCCATCAAAAAGACCAAGAAATCACCTCAAGATGAAAGTAAGAATAGGAAAAACCGCCATGAAACAAAGAACAACTCCAAAAGTGCCTGAAAAATCAATAAGCGAAAATTTAGGACGCAATGAGAGCGCCAAAATTCCAGAGCCCGACCTGCATTCGACGAAATACGGTATTCGTGTCAGGACCGCACTTTCGTAAACGCTCCTCATCCTTTAACCTAATTGGCGCTCTCTTCCCGACTCTCTCATGGCATTAGCTCCGCCCCATCGCAACGGCGACGTGGTGGCGAGCAGCCTGCATTGACGAGTGCCCCTCGCGTTGGCGTCTATCACGAAGAAGGTCGGAGGTTCGATCCCTACCACGTCGGTTTAGTGCAGTTCTGTGGTGTTATCGTTTTGTTTCCAGTACAATGTGCTCAGATCACCGATACACCATACCACGCCATATGTCATATAGTAATACCGTAATCACAAGTGATCAATTTATAAATGATTTATTCGTCACTAGGAGCGCGTGGCGCGGTGATTAGAGGTTTTGTGCGTCGCGCACGAGGTCAATGGTTCGATTCTCGCGCTCATTGCTTATCCAAGCTCCTCCATCCCTCCGGAGTCGGTAAATTGGTACCAGACAGGTCTCAGGCTTGTCTGGGAGGATAAGCAGCACTGGACTCGGTTCAGCGGGAGGCCACCGCGAGTGATTATAAGAGTGATTAGTTCGGTGGGTTCTGGCGTATTAATAGTATCCACTAGAAGCGATTGTGTTGATTTGAAAGTTGGAGACGGGCATTGTCTTCGCATCATGTGTGACTACTATAGAAGTTCGCGTATTGCTAATGTCTTCATCTCGTTCGCTTACTTTTCTAGACATCCCATGCTTCCTTGGTTAGGTGTTTTTAAGAGGAGATAATATTATATATATATATATATATATATATAATATATATTATATATATATATCAAAATGATGAACGAGCTAGCTCCAGAGTTGAGCAGGAGGAAAACGAGCGGCTTGAGGAACGTTTAAGAGCATCGACAATGTAGTGAGGAGGACAAAGAACAGCGACTCCGTGCCCACCTTTTCGACTCGACAATCATCCCTGCCCTGACGTATGCAGCAGAAACCTGGTCGCTACGTAAGCAGGATGAAAGATCACTTGCCGGTATCGAACGCGCAGTCGAAGAGGTCGATGCTAGGAGTATCCGTGTCTCGCAAATGAGAGGAAGGATCCGAAGTTCCGACCTATGTCAACGATCGAAAATCAGAGACGCCGTTCATACACGCCAGGATATCGAAAATAAGGTGGGCCGGGCACGTGATGTGCTTCAACGACAACCGATGGACGAGAGCCGTTACCGGACTGGATTCCTCGGGACGTCAAGCGCTCTAAAGGAGGACCACTGACCCGTTGGTCCGATTTCTTCACGAAAGCGATAGATGGAAAGATATGATGCTCAGCGAATCCCTAGAGCGAGGAGGACCCACTGGGCTACTCTTGCACGCGATAGGGAAAAATGGAAGAGTTGCTGGTACCCGCTCGAGTCACTCGACGATCATTGGGACGACAGGTGATACAGGTTATACATATATATATATATATATATATATATATATATATACTATATAGGACGAGCGAGGTTACGGTAAGATTATTGTGCTCTTCGTCCGAGAATTTTCTATGGCAATACGGCATAAAAAATGAAGTACTAATTGTCGTGGTATAGAACTGAAATTCACCATCGGCAAATCAGCGTCCTAATCTACGGATCACATCGAATGCGGAGAAAATCAAAAAAATGACTGATTTTTGCGACCGAGAGTAGTTTTGTTTTCTAAGGGAAACGGAGTAGTCGAAGCAACACTCGTTCTAGTGGAAAAATTTTTGGTACCAATATTCAAAAAAAAAGGATTGAAGAAATAAGATACTGGAATAAGGCACGTCTTTTTTTTTGAAAGAAAAATAATTTTTATAAGCCTTCCGAAAACTTTTCAATGTGTATGGAATCATGATACGGTACTTTGTCCCATAAAAAATAACAGATAGTGAAATAATAAACTCGTCACTTATACGACACTGTCCAAGTCGGCACGTAATACGGCGTGACATGCCCCTCTCAGAGGGTGCGGTCCCGAGAGCATACTGGCAAAGGGCTCAGTACCGCATATGTGCTGAGCCTATTACCTACGGTAGTGACTCACCGTAGTTGATGGCCATCGGACTTAATAGAAGGGGATATCGGTAGAAAAGCTCCACAGCGCACACTCTTCAAGGGTGGTCCCGGAGCATACATGGGCAAAAGGGCTCAGTACCGCATAATGGTGCTGAGCCTCATTTACCTATGCGAAAGTGGACTAACCGTAGTTAAGGTTTACAATCGGACTCAATAGGAAGGAGGATGTCCGGTAAAAAATGCTCTTCACAGGCGCACCGAGTAGACCCACCATGCCTTCTTTTGCAGTGGTATGATATTACAAGTATATATCCAATACATGGATACTTAGACGGCCCGTCTTCACGAGATTGCAAGTACCTGCACAGAAAAACTGTGCTTTCAGCTATTTCGTTTCATGGAGTCTCTAGGTAAGCCTAGCTGGGGCTTCTTGTCACTATATAAGAGCAGTCGCCAGTCCTTGTGGATCGGAGGGAGATTACCACCTTGCGACTATTAACTACAAAGACAGTGGTCAATCAACGTAAGATTCACTCCTAGCTGGACTTTTCGGCTTGAAACGTCGCACTCTTTCTCAGCTCGGGTGACCCTGCTTAGGGAATGAACACCTCTCAGTACTCCACAGTCAGACACTGAAGAACACCAACCAGCCATGATGAGGTGTTAAACAATTTGCGAACATCTATCCACCATGGTACATTGATATGCTAAGCTTTGATCCACGAGCAAAAGAGTAACCCGTGTTGCATCCTTTCCGGGTTCCTGTTCTGCGATACATGATATCAACTCTGTCAGCAAACAAGGGTAGACGGATTGGCCTGTTAGCACGTAGAAGCATTGAACCGGCATTGAGGCATTATTCGAGATGCTCCTTTTGAGTTGTAGCATGTCGCGATTCATCGTTTCGATATAAATGTGAGTTCCTCTACGTTCTAAGTACTGATTACGTTTTAGTGTACTCCATTAACATGTACTATCATACACACCGTATGCAAGTGACATCAAGTATTTGAGATGCAAATTCCAACATATTCAAACACGATGGTAGCTACGTAATCTGAAGACACCTAGCCACTTCGAAATATTCTCGATGGTCTATAATCTCATTCTGGCAAAAAGCTCTCTCCAAGTATCGAATCCCAATTCAAAAGTAGAGAAGTTTCTCCTTTTGCACTGGACGCACTCCATCAGCAATTATTTTCGTCTATATTATGAACTCGCCAAAACGAAGCTTCTTGTGAATAATCAACTGAAGACCTATCAAATTTATGTTTCTTTGATCTAACTGCTTTGTAGTTGTAATATTCATTTTAGAAGGTTTAATGAAATGCAATACTCGACCTTATGCGGGATTTGAACTCGCGTTTCAACCCTTACCGGATCGCGTGGTACCACTTCATCATGGACTTCACTGCTTTGCGACCAGCCTTTCTTTGATATGAACTTTCGAGGTAACAAAGTGGAGGTCTCCGTGATGCAATGGTAAAGAGCCTCTTCGGTGAAGGTGGGACGCGTGTTCAACTCCTTCCTGAAGTCGGGTTTTTGTCTGCCACTCCATTCGAACGCTTAAATTTTTTTTTGTTTACAGCGCTACATGGCCCTTATTCGAAAAGAACCCATTTCTAACGCTGTAAAATTCAAAACAAAAATATGTTCCAGACCAGCCGTGCCCCCTCAGTTTTAGTACGCGTCTGACTCGCTGAAAGCACGAAAGGCATATGAACGTGTTCAAAAAAATCTCGTAGTATCTGAACCATTTAATTTATCTGGAGTTTCTCCCAAAGCGAAGAAAAAAATTCTTATTGAATAACGAAAATTGCATCCCACATGTCTAACGCGTCAGGCCATCCACCGGTCTCCTGTCCTCCGTCGTGTAGATTAACTAAAAAGCACATGCCTGTGTATCTAAATCAATCTTAATTTTCCCTCGTGCACTGCAGGTGAACGGTCCTTCCAGAAAAGAAGCACAGCGTTGAGTTGTTAAATCTTACGCTATCGAATAGTCACAGAAGATGTAAAGGAACAGCTCTATCCTGCAAGAATTATGCACGTGTGAAACACAAAATGCCTTTTGTCGAGTGTTTTGTTAAACGACGCTCAAATGTTACGAGGCTGTACAAGGCCGAAACACATGCATATCATTGTATAAGTTCTCCTAACAGGGCACATGCATGGCTGATAAATAACTATCAGACAAATGTTTTCTATCTGCTACAGCGACATTGAAAGAGCTTTCCAAGAAAGCAAACACATTTTGAGTTCTTTGAGACCTCTGCATTCAAAGAATTAGCAAATGCTCGTGGTTCGCGTCAAACAGTCATATTCTGAATGCAACAGCGCTATGAAGGCTTTTCGAAAAAGGCTATACAGCGCAGTAGCCAGAGATTTAAACTTTGAATGCTTACTAACACTCTTATCAAAAGGTCTTTTTTACCGAATGAAGTCTATTATTCACTTGATTCCGGATATTCGAAATGAGCTGTTTTGGCAGTAGAGCAATAAGAGCCAAATTTATTACCCACGATTACTGCGAAATTCTAGCATTTCCACTACTTTGTTCGCAGTGTTATGATGTTACATATATACCCAAGAGAACTGAGTGGTGAGCAAAAATACTGCCCCAAGAGGGAATCAAACCCGCGCTTTATCCATACCAAGGACGCGCGCTACTACCACTCACCACCGAGGCTCATTTGCTCCACCAATCATTTTTCAACATCTCTATGTTAGCTATGAGCCAGCAACTTTAACACGTTTGATCGGGTACGCGATTTCACTTCATAAACCCAGTTGAGCTGATAGTCATTGTTAAATGTAATACTCCAAAATTTTTAAATTGCTTTTTTCGCAGTGTTATGATATTACATATATACCTTAAGTAAAAAAGCGGTAAAGATACTAGAATTTCTGATCTAACAATGGGTGTCAGCTCAGGTGGGTTTTGTAAGGCGTAATCGCTTACCAGACCAAACCAGGCTGTCCTCCAGATTGTAAGGAGGAGCAATGAACTAGAATTCTACTACATTAATGATATTAACCCATTACTTCACTACTTTATTAACGCTATTAACGCATCTGTGAAAAAATCCTCTCCAGCGAATAAGATCGGTTTTTCATTTGTCCACTTATAAGACGAAGCACTAAACACAATCAGAGCACAATCTTCTAACTTTCATGCAGATCCAGGAGCATTGATAGAAATAAAATGCCTATCTAGCGTAAGTTTCAGGTGTCATAACTTTTTTTTGCGTCCCACTATGTTCGAATGCCCAATGAAGTAGAGTGATGTGCAAAATATTTGTTGAAGCGAGACTTGAACCCGCATTTCCCCAGTCTGGAGGAGCGTGTTCTGTTTCCTGTACCACTAAGATCTAATACAGGTGCGCTTCGAGAAGATGTAAGTTGATGAGGAGAAAGCTGCATAAAACAGCAAGGTATACCGTGATCGAAACTCGCATATCTCAGTTGATTAGATGCCAGTGGACAATTGGCTTCAGATTCATAGAAAGCTTCGGAAACTTTTCTTCGGCAAACCTACAGAGATAGGAGCGTCTTATAGAATCTTAGAATCACCCATATGATAATTCGCTAGGGTATCTCGAGTCAGTATAAAGTCCAGATATGCTTTCAGTCGCCTCAAACGACGTTGGATAATGTCGAGTGCTTGGCATAAGGCCTCAAATTACTTTGGATAAGCGCCATAAATCGAAGGGTAAGGAGCAGGAAGGATTCCCATGTCATCACACGTGATGTGGCACAGTATACGAGAATGTTATTTTGTGTCGAAGCTGCATTGGCACTCCATGCGATCTCTGCACTGTTCGTCTCCAGTTTTGAATACATCAGTTCAGGAAACTGTAAGAAGGAGGATGTTGGAAAGCCGCTTTGAGCTTGATGTGATGGAAGTAGGTTTGGTGACTCTTGCTGAGTTGAAGTAATGGAGGTGCTTGACTGACTAGGTTGTAGGCAATCTATCTCGAGGGCGAAAGAAGACAAAACGGCCTAAACGTAAGCTTGTCAAATAAAATCTATTGTATCAACCTTGCGCATGGCTTTAAATGAAAAATCTGAGCACGAACTACTCTCAGGAAACAATCGTACGAAGAAGAGGCCATTGTCCAGTTCATAATACCACAAGTGGTCTTATGACTTGTCAATTACTGTTAAAAGCGGTTAGATAAGAACCCTTCTACTTCTTGCCTTATACCTAACACTTTCTAAGCTTTGACTCTTTTTGTGAACACTGAAACTGCAACATTTCATTCCAGAGCTCAAGTCCTTATTTGACTCAAGACGGACAAAGAAGTAGCTATATTCTATCTCAGCCTTGGCTTGAAGAGAGCGAGTCCGTGTGGATACTTTGCGGTTGTAAGGGAACAAATCAATGTTTGAACTCATTCGCTGTGCAAGCACTTTTCGTGGGAGGGTTGGTAAATATTCGAAAGCATAAATCTTGGTTAAAGCTGTACATAGCCGGTTTTACAAAGCACCCTTTTGTAATTCTGTAAATTTCAAAATAAGACTATGTTTACTCGCACATATTTCTCGCCGGACAGAATTCTTCCTTATACATTTGGTAATCATTCGGTAGCGCAAGTGTAAATGATTCCAATGCTCCGTTAATTTTTCTGAAAGACCAGGAATGATATGATCAAATTTATGTGCACGAGCATGTGGATTTTGGCTATTCAATGAGGCGGGAAGACGTGAAGGGGAGGGGTGGTCTCAGGCGGATTTGACCGTTCCAACACGCCTTTCTGTGAGCCATAAGAAAGCCTATTTTTTGTTATTTACCTAGGATTTTTTTTCTCGAAACTCTAGATTCGACATCTCACTTCAATATTTAAAAAATTCTTCACATTTTCATGTATTTTTCGTGCTTCCAGCGGAACAATAGTTGAAATGCGGGGCCGATGTGAAACATTTCATTTTGAATTTATCAGCATTACGAAAAGTCTTCTCATAAAGTCGGTGACGTACGGGTTAAGCCAGAGATTCAATCTTTGAGGGATTATTAATAGTCCTATGTAAAATTCTCGATCAGCGAATGAGGTCGAGCCTTTATTTCTCTCTAAAGCAAAGTAAACCCTATATGATAGTCACAGCATATCTTGGAAATCATGTTGAGATAAATTTGACTGCTTGAAATAGTGAAACGCTCTGAATTGTATCAACCAAAGCCATCAGGTGTGTTATCTGCGAATACTCTCTCCGGTCTCAATGGCAGTGCTTGCAGTGCTGGGATGCGCACATTACATTTTAGTGATCGACTGTGTGCAGAAGATTGAAGAAGCGATAGAAGATAGAGTTCTTTCTTGCCGAGTACAGAATCAGTTTAGAGGCATCTCATCTCGTTGTAGACTTTCTATTTCAATTTCTCTCATCAAGACCGCGCCTCAGTTTGTTCAATGTTATGGTTTATTGATAAGCTAACAAGAGGGTTTTACAAGTCATCATGGCTAACGTTTCGGGGTATCTTTTTTTTTCAAAGGTCATGCTGATTCGATTTACTGTCAACAGCTGATCTCTTTTTTGTAGTGCGGACATTTGTAAATGACCCGTCATGTCTACTTAAGTCAGGTCACCTTCAGTCACTCAATAAATTCACGTCTTTTCAAGTTTATCGATATTCAATTAAGTGCTGACGAGAATACAGATCTGATCAAACCGCTAAACTTCATTGAGAGTGCAGTAACAACACAACTTACTGCAAACCTTTTAATCATGAGTGTTTACAACAAAAAAAAAAACTGCAGCAACAGTGGTAGCCAAGTTGGCGTTGATTGTGAGGCGATTGCATTCCTTTGCCTACATCGTCTCGTAGGCACGAGCGCCGCTGTAATCAATGCATTCAGATGGCACAAATGTAAATAAACATATTGACAGCGTGTTTTAGAGAATAGTATTGTCAAAGATATGAATTTCAAGAGACACACCCTTCTTGAGCCAGCGGATCCACCCATACTGCGTGCGGGTCTACCCATACTGCAAATGAACAAGCGGCTAGTAAAGCCATGCAGAAGTAAGCGATCAGGAGACGCGTGTTGCTCATCTAAACATTTGCAAGACATAGAAGCTCTGCAACACTTTGAGTAAGCTTTTTACTGCAAAGGCATCATTCGTAGAGCTTTATATCATTGCAAGAAAAAGTTAGCGTAATGACATAGTTTCAGCAAACGGGAAACCTTACCTTATAAATTAAACGAAGGTGACAGATATTCCGAATGAGGCGGAACAATGGAGCATGTCTTCCTTACGCCTCCTTAAATACCCACCGCTTGATAAGATATTATTGTTCACGTTCCTTATCACTTTCTTATCAGAACTTATCATTTGAAACTTTTGCTGTTTGACGTGCTAAACCGTGAGCATACAGAACATCACCCAGATGACAAAGAAAACAGTTGTTCTTTCCTTTGACGAACAGGGTAGAGCACCGCAAACGAAAAATCACCCTTTATCATGAGTACAAGGCCTTATCAAGTATTCCATTCAATTACTCTAGGTTTAATTGGAGCTATGAATAATTACATCTTTAACCCACACTAAGGGCTGTGGTCAGGTGACTAGTGATACTGGTTGCGGCAGCAAGGCGGATTTGATCCCACGATCTCACTAATTTTACCCTCATATTCGACTGTTTTTTCAGGCCTCGCTCATAACACTATATTCTAACAATGTATTTTTTTGACGCTTTATAACGTCTTTTATAGGCACTTATACAATGCAATACACGTGTTTCGGCCTTGCAGCCTCGTCAGTTGCACGGTGCCTCTCGTCTGAGCCAAGCCCTTTCGTGGAAGAGGCCCCTTACATGAAGGCATTGTCGCTGGACATGTTACACTCTCGCGCGTAGAGAGTTCTCTTCACACGCGACAGAGATAACACATCAGTGCATGTCCAGTAACATGATCATCGGACATTGCAGTGATTGAATATAGATAATTATTTTATTCAGAAGAATACTGTTCAATCAACAATCACTAGAAAGTAAACACGTGGTAGGAGATTGCTATATCTTAAGAGATTTTGCTAAAGGGACGTGTCTGTGTAGCATTCGTAGAACATTAGGATGGGATGTTATGGGAGTGAAATTCGACAGTTGAACTGTTATTCAACGATCTTCGATTTCAATTCAAAGGTCTAACTCTCTATAAACCGCGGCATAATTAAATGATATATAAAATTGAGAAAACTTATCTTGATTAGCTGACGCGATATTGGTAAAGTAGTCATAGCAATTCGGCTGACGTTTCGGCGACCCGCCTTCTTCAGAGCTTGGACGTATGTAGTACTAGTCTATTTGAATGATTCGGAGGATCTTATTTAGTTGCTGCTTAGGTCAGGTTAAAAGATCAAGCGAAGAAAGGGCGCGGGATCTCTTGTGATGGTGACGCATTCGTCCTTCCGCGTTCATTTCGGAGTTTTCGGCGTTTATCCAAATGCCTCAAGAGTTTTGCGCGTGGATGTTTTGATTCCTGTGCCAGGGTCGCAACAGTCACATCAAAATCTTTGTTGTTGTGTTTTTGTGCCCTAGATAAACCTAAAGATTTGGTTTTATCCATTTTAAATTTGCTATCTAGATGTTCTTTTATGCTGATGAAAAGTGCTATACCTGTTTCGCTTATGTAATCTTCCTTGCATGTCTATCATGTTACCATATAAATTGTTCCCGATCTCATACAATCT